CCGGGGAGGATTTCTGGGAGGCCATCGGCAAATGGGAGGTTCCGGAGGGGGGGGTGGGGGGGGGGGGGGCGTCACCAAGCCCACCGCTGGTGCTGCTGCTGGTGCTGCAAGGTTAGAGGCTGTGGGTTAGTGTGTATTTGGGAGGGTGGAGACACATCCGAGACCCAAAACCAAGCTCGCTTAATTTATTTGGAGGTACAATACGCCGCGGGGCCTGTAACTCAGGCGGCGCGCGTAGTTTGCGCGAGAGGTCCCCAAGCCTGATGAATTGTTTCGAGAGACTTTCGTCGCGAGGTGCTCGCTCCCTGTTCCGGTCTGAAGTCCCCCCCCCCGCCCCAAAGGGTGCGTGTGTTGTTCCGGAGTCTTGGAGGCGGTGTATTGTTCTCTTGCATTGCTGCATGTCGGCGTTATTCTTGGCGAATACCTTCCCTTGGTGTTATTGTGTCATGTCGAAGGTGTCCCGGATAAAAGGAAAGGAGGCCAAAGAGAGGATGTACCCTGTTGTCACTTTTTTTATTTTCACTTTTTGGTGGCGCTGCTGCTGCTGCTGCTGCTGCTGCTGCTGCTGTTGTGCGGGGTGACTTGATGGTTTTTCCTCTGCGGCCCCCCCTCGAACGGTGTGAGGGGTGTGGTGGCCGTCCCTTCTTGTTCCTGTTGTAAGTCTGACTCCCCCCGGTGTTCTCTCCCCGCGTACCTGCCGCCTTCCAAGTTGCTGCCTTTTACTGCGTGTTTTGTTTGATGTTGGTGGCGTTCGCACCTTGTTGAGCCTTTTTCTGCGTGTGTGTGTTTTTCTAGTGTGGGTGTGGTGCCGATTTCCCTCAGGCCCGCCGAGCGCGTGTGCGTGTACGTGCACTCGGACGTTGACCAGTGACCAAAATTCGCTCCGGTACGCGACGTGCTTCCTTGTGGAATACTAATACAGTAGTGCCAAACGAACGCCCTGCTGGTGGTGTCTTTGTCGCCCGTGGTGGCCCGTGTTTCTGTCATGTGTCTTTGTCTCCGGACGTTGCCGAGACCGCCTTAGCTGTTGTGAGAAGGAATTGTTATTTTGTTGGGTGTTCGGTTAATGAAGCGTGTTCGTCGGTGCACGCGCTGCGCCGGTAGGAATGATGACCAACGGACGCGCCAAGGTTTCCACCTTTCTTTGTTCTTGGGAAGCGGTTCGGAATAAATCCGTCTCTCCTTGGATGTTATCTATTAATAGCACACACAAACACACACACAGACACCGACGGGGGGCTGTGCCGGACGTGCGTGTGGCGCGTAGCGAGCGGAGGTTTCGGCGAGATGTATCGCGGGTATGTTGTTGGGCCTCTTCTCCTCTGCCTAGCGTTTGCTCCGCTTTGTTTGGTGAAATGTAACGTGTGGAGCACTAGAGAAGAAGCGGCGGGACTGCAGCAGGCTACGCACCACGTGATGGCGATTGCGCTGGCCGTTTGATTGATGGACGGCCCTTCTTGTCTGGGGTGCAATCGTACGAAGTAGTCCCGCGACTCGCCACTTGTGTCTCGCGTTTGCGCAAAGCAGAGAGCGTGGAGGGCGAACGAACCCAACCAAGTGCTGGTTTTGTAGGTACAGTAGGGGACGGGTGACGACGGGATGGTCACTTCCGCGCTTCCTTGCAAGCCCATAGCTGAAACCAAGGCGCATTCTACTCTGTGTTGCTTTACCTATAGGCAGATGATGAATCCTGGGTGTTTCGGTGCCGCCTTCTTTCTGTATCCGGCTTGTTGTTGCCGTGGATTGTCTGTCTGTCCGAAAGTATCAGCTATCGTTCGGGGGTTGAGCCCGAAAGTGGCAACATCCTACGGTTCCGTTGGTGTAGTGTGGCGATTGCGCCCCCCCCCCCAGTCCTGTGCCCGACTGGGAGATTTGAATACTCCCCCCCCCCCCCCCCCCCCCCCCCCCCCAAATTTTTTTTTAAAAAGC